AGAGCTGAGGCCACCCTGGGAGAGGAAGGGGCAGAATAATCTCTTCATTATCATGTGAGCCCACTCAGGACCTGAAAGCAGGAGCGGGGTGTGGGGAGAGATCGACCTAAAGATGCCTTGTGGTTAAGGCTGCTGTGAAACTCAGAGTCATCTTCAAAGCTGGTAACCTCAGGCCAGGTGGGAATACGGAAGCTATAGCAGAAGCCAGTGAGGAGGGATGATAACTCTGAAGACTAGTGCTTCACCCCCACTCACTTCTGCTCCTGACAGCTCAGCAGTATATTTCTCCCTGGAACTGGGCTGAGAAGTTAGGTGAAAAGGGAGAGCCTAAATTTATTGAAATTAAAATTTTGTTGCATAGTAAAACAGATGCCTAACGTAATGTGAGTTGAACGATAGAAAAAATACAATATTGTTTTTTGTACTTCTGAGAATAGAAGCAGAGATTTGTAAGCACTATAGCTGTCAGCAGTGCTTACACTACTGAGCTATGGGGCTCTGAGAAGCTTCCTAGGGGAGCAGCTGTTCGGACTGGGATGTAAAGACAGGATAGGAGTGGGCCAGGTGGGCTAGGGCATCACAGGAGGTAAGAAGTGTGAGAGGGAAAATGCGCCCTGCAGAGGGAGTCGGTTGTTCTCAAACCCTGAGTAATGGAATAACTACGGCCGCTCACTAGAAATGCTACCAGTCCCGTATTTTTGGAGGTTGAGCCCACAGTATGAAGGGACCAGTGAGAGAGAGGTGAACAGGAGGAGACAGCTCAAAATGATATGAATGAGGTTGTATGTGATTTTATTTCACTGCTGAAAAACTGGGAGCCCTGGACCCTGCTTATCTCTGCAGGCGTATGCTGCTCCACACTCTCCTTGTTCACTATGCTTTGATCAGACTGGTCTCCTTATGACACGCTTTTGGTCCTCAAACATGACACGCTTCATCTCACCCCAGGACTTTTAAACCCAACTGTTTATTTTTAATTATGTTTTCCGTTTTCCTAACATACTACACTCATACTTGTAGATGAGTGTAGTCCCTTAAAATAGTCACCTTGGGAAGCCATGCACTTTTTATTGATATTATTCTTATGTAAACAGTTTGGGACTCACCTTAGAACTTATTTATGAGCCAAATTAGAAAACCCATGTTGTTAGCTTGTACTCTGACTTCCTTTTTACCTGAAGCAGTAATACAGTACTGAGAATTACACCCTACTAGGCTTTGGATGGCGTTTGTTTGTTTCCAGACTCCAACTCCATCTCTAATGAAGGAACAGGAACCATGGTTCAATATCTTCAAAGGAATGAACCATAGGCTCTGCAGGTGATTGAAATGGGAGCCTAGAAATATTTTTGGCCAAAGCAGTATATAATTTGGAAGAAATGAGTACTCTTCTAATGTTCATTTAAATATTTGTGTATGCTTATTAGAGAAGAAGACTTATTATCTTAAAGTTGTACCTGATGAACTCATTGGTGAGGCGACATGAAAAGACCTACTTTTACTCAAATATATGGTCAAAACAAAGTACTTGCTCTTGAAACACATACTCCCCCAACCCCATGCACGCTCACATACATGCCAATAGTAGCTATGCTGGTAAGATCTTAGTTTAATTGTGAAACCCATGAGTTAAGAATTAAATCACTTGTATTATCATCTTGATCTTGCTGACTACAAAACAAGTATGGTAAGAGTGATTCTTTAGTCGCTCAGTCATTATAGACAAATCAAGATAGGAGAATGTCCATCTCTAGAGGGAATAACTCTTTGGAATTCTGTGAAGGATATTTAAGCTCTAACTTAAGCCAGTTTCTAATAACAGATACAAAAGAAATTAAAGTGGCCCTGAGAAAATTAAATAGCATACTTTTGCGCTTAATTGGGTAACTGTAAATGTTAATAATTGGAGTAAATCAATATGAACAGAAGGAATTTTAATATTTTATTAATTTCATGTAGGTGACAGAAACAAAAAAATTTGAAACAATGATAAAGCAAATTGTTCAAAACGAACATTCATCAAATATCATTTCTGAAACAAAGTGAACATGATTTAATTTATTCAAGTTAATGTCAGTATCTAAGACATGGAACTGATAGCAAAAGAGCTTGCATTCTAGGGTTTTATCTTTTGTATTGCTCATGTTTTTCTAAATTTTGCTATAGTACCTTACACATTGTGGACTCTCAATGAAGACTGATGAATAAGAGGCTATGGCCTAGGCCCTCAGGCTACGATCAAATGTTTTTCCTGAAAAATACTTCAGGAGGAAAGATATTTGTTTCTAAGTGTATCTAATTATCAGTTGATGTCTCAAAGCCTCAAAAAGCAATAGTCCTTTTAACTCCCATTCTCGAAAGTATTTAGTTTAACCTTAGCAAGCTCACGAATTTTATAATTTTCACTGGCAGCAAACCCTACGTATTAACTAGACATATACAGAAATTTATTTTTCCCCATTTGAAATCTTCTACCTGTTAACCCTAGGAAGTTTTTTAAACTTTTATTATTTGGGAAAATTAAGCCATACTATTCTTGTTTTTTTTTTTTTTTTTTTCATTTGTTTGTTTTGGCACATGCTCTCTCACTCATCTTTTTTCAAAGTACTAAGTATCAGTTTTCATTAAACCTCTCCAAGGATCGGTTCAAGTGACTGGCCTTGGTTCATCATTTGTGCACCATATGATGGGGGAGAAGAAAGTACATGCCATTAACTTGATAAAAATGTAATAAATTTGATGCAGATTCCTTTTTTATTTATTCATGTAATTGGGGTCCATCTATCTATGTATCTACCTATTACTACTGCTTCTGTATTTATGAACACTTGAATGAAAAAAAATTAGATAAAAAATTTTCATTTAAGACATCTTTGAGTAAAATATTTTCACGTAGTTAGCATAGTATTATAAACACTTTTTTCCTGGCACTAAATTCATCTAAAAGAAAACACAAGCATTTTCAAGAAATGAAAATAGGAATATGATTTTATCATTGTTATGATTCTTTAAGATAGGTTTAAAAATTTGATGCACTCGAATCTGGAAAGCTTCTGTGAAACTAATCAAACAACCTTCTAAGAAAGGATTTCTTGGCGGGAGTGAGTATTTTCCCAGAACCTTTTTTGTGGAGGGATTTCAGTGGAGGCTTTTTTACGGGCAGAACGCGTTTTGGGGTTTGCAATGCTCTTGCTATCTTCACATGCTCATTGCAGTAATACTTGCTGCTTCCTTCTGACAGTTGGATGAGTGTGCGTTCTGCCAGATCCATGCACTGGGCATGGACCCAATGCCCATCTCCATGAGAGCAATAGATCATGGCAGGTTTGTTTAGCTCAGTTGAATAAAATGGTACCCACGTGTTGATATCCACATCACAAGTAGAGCAGCAAGTGATCCAGTAGCCAGTTACAGACTCATCTTCCTCATCATCTTCATTATAGGTGTCAAATTCATCATCACCGTCAAAACTATTTGCTTCTGCACTGAAGCAAAATTCTTCTGAGTCTTCAAAGGGAGTGGAGTCCCCTGGGTCATCTGTTGATGTCTGACTATTTGTGAATGTTTTCTGATCTTCATTCACATCATCTTCAGCACATTTCAGCATGTAGAAATAGAACGTTTCTGAAACAGTCTGTTTATTGTCTCCTGGTATGCCAAGGAAAACACTTCCATTTCCCATGTTGCTTCCAAACCATATCTTGCTGTGCTTAATATCTGGGGTCCAGTCTGGGGTCTCCATCTCACGAATTTCTATCTTGTTGCCCTCAAGGGAGATGATGTTGCAGACCATTCTTTTTTGATTTTCAAGCTGATAGCCACCCACAATAACAAATTCATCACTGTTTGTTTGAGTCAGGATTGCACTAGAGACAGAGATTCCTCCTGGCAAAACTGTGCAATTCACAGCTGGGCTACCCAGGGGGAGATCAACCCTTATTCTGTACAGGTTGGCAGGGCGGATGTTATTGGCAAGTGAATGCCCTCCTAAAATATAAATGGTATCATTTCTGGCAATGGAGACGTGAAAAGATAGCCCATCCTGGAGTTCTGGAAGAATGTATGATGTAGAGCACCCAAATTCAAGATCCACCAAGAAAATGTGGGGCAAGCAGTCAGCTACACTATTCCATTTTTCTGTGGTTCTTTGGGCAGAAGGTATGTATGATCGTCCTCCGAAGACAACACCCATGCTCTTCCCTCGACTATATACCATGTCAATGGAATGACCATATCTGGCTTCAGGAACGTCTCCTACCAAGTCTTTCTCAGTACAGCGAAAAGTAACTTTTTTGTTGTTCTTGCAGACAACAGACATGACATAAATCTTATCTGAAAGCTCATTGTTTGGTGTTTTCCCCCCATGGATAATGTATTGTTGCTTTTCAGACTCTAAGCTGCCTTTGAATGTGCAGGTGGCTGGGTAGCGAAGAGGAGGAAGGTAGCAGGAATCCTTAGAGAAAACTGCGGGCTTCAGTTTGAGGTGGTTATGCTTTACATCAAAATGGAAGACTCCAGTGGGGCAGGACCTCTTGGGCCAGCCTTTTTGGCCAAAGAAAAAAATTTGCCCATCAAAATTCATCAATGAGAAGCCTGGTTGAATTAGGCCTATGTTATTACTGACTGTAATCATCTGTAGTGACATATTTTTTGATCGTGGATAGATCTTTTATCTGAAAGAATTACCAAAAAAAATTAACTTACTAAATCTTTGTATAAATCATTGTGTTTAGATTTCCTCACACGTAGAAAACATGTTAAAAGCAGTTCTCCCACAAGCTTGTAGAAGGAGTGAATTAGCAAAATCCAGGCAGTTAGGTAAGCAAAGAGCCACAGAACCCTCCAGTCTAATCCAATGCAAGCAGCTGGGACATATTTTAGCCTTGGACAGTCCTCCTTTAGATTTCTGGGAATTGTAGTCCCTTTTTCCTTAAAGACTCACCACCTAACGTCAGAAAGAACTACATTTCCCAGGAATCAGCTCTCTATGGGCTGTGTGGCTACGATTGTTTTCATTGCTCCAGGAGAGGAGACTCCTAGGATGTTACTCTGAATAAGGACGTCAAAAGTGCGAAGTGACTAGATGGGAGCCAAGGCGGAAAACTAGGGAATGGGAGGTGAGAGTGGTTTTGCAGACCCAGCATCCAGGTTACGGGAAGTCTGTAGCACTGGGAGGGGCTTCAGGCAGCCCTCTGTCCAGGTGTTCCCGGGGACTCTTAGACTGGCGTCTTAGTACGACGCACAGCTCCTTCTGGCCTACGTGGGGTTGCCAGGAAACCGGAGCCTGAAGGACGCCCGGCCGAGGTGTCTCTGCAGACTCCTGCCCCGATCCTCTGGAGCTCCGCACAGAATGGCACCCCTGAGCATCTCTAGGTTGCCGGGGTGGGGAGTTCTGGGGCGGAGGGGCACCGAGATTAGAAAAGCCGTGACTGTTTTGCAGAACGGAAAGACGAGTCTCGGAATACCTGGACTGCAGGGGAGAAATGACCTGATAGTGATTTTTACCAGTCCTATGTTTAGTAATGAAAATACAGGAGACTTTCGAGTGCCGCGTCAGAGGCCCTTTTGTTTTCTAAAGTGCTCTCGCTCTGGTTTTTACGGTTCTTTTACTAAAGCAGAGACGATTCCTAAACTATCCCACTTTCTCCTCCTCCTCCCTCTCACTTCTTTCCACTCTTGCTCCCTAATTTAGGAAAATAGTGGCTGTTATTTCAGACCTCTCTTCACAGCTCAAGAAATTGGGAGTAACTCTTTGGCAACTCTGTAGTAAGCAGGCACTAAGCACAAAGAGGTGCCAGAATTTTTCAGGAGTCACTATTTACATTATAATATTTTTAAAAAGGTATTTACTAGATGAAGTAAGCTTAATAAAATTTTATTTTTATAATTATCACCTACCTTAGAGAGTCACGAGGAGCCTTAATGAGAAACACCCTCCCTGTGTGCAGAGTGAAGTCCTAGACACCAAAGGATAAAGGAAACAAAAGAGCACATATTTATTGACTTTTAAGAGTAAATTGTTAATGTACTTCACAAAACAGTGGCGAAGAGTATGGACTCTGGGAGCTGACTGGCTATGTTGAAATCCTGGCTCTGTCACTTACTAAGTACATGAACTTGGGCAAGTCATTTAACCTCTCTCGGCCTCAGCTTCCCTAGCTGTAGAATGAGATAATAATTTTACCTATTTCATAGGTTGATATGTTAGGATGAGTAAATTAGTACATGTAAAGGACTTAGAACAGGGCTTTGTACAAGGTAAGTGATAGTTATTGTGATTATGCTAAACTTATCAAAAGTAAAGTTTTAGTACACAATTACCTGCTGATCATGGCAGATGACATTTATAGTTGTTGGAGGTGATTATGGGGCTTTAAGATCTGGGAATCTGGTCAGTAGATACAGACTGAAAATATTTTTTTAGACTACTGAGAATTGGATAGGCATCTACTATGGAGGTGCTGGTGGTGAGTGCAATTTAGGTAACAGGAAATTTTTCATTCTTCTTGTTCCCGTTTCTGTAACCCCTCATTGAACATGGAAACTCTGAAGTTGGACTGTCTGAGTCCAAATCTGAGCTTTAAAACTTAGATGCTCTATTACCATCTTGGACAAGTTATTTTCTCTCTGTTTTTTCTTATCTGTAAAAATGAGGATAATATTAATAACTACCCATTGGGTTGTTCTGAAGAATATATGGGATAATAGAATCCCTGTGTATGTAAATCTCATAGCACAATGCCTGGCACATAATAAATATTCAATAAATGTTAATACTATAATTCATTTTTATCCCCCCTGCAAAGATTCCTGGGACCATTTAGGGTCCAAGGTCAGTCTAATGAGATGTTGGTGGGGCTTTTTGCCTTGAAGCACTTCTGTAGACAGATGTAATTAATTGCTAAATATTCTTTTCTACTTATTAGTTTTAGTTGGCAGAGTCCTCCAGGTGTGATATTTTAATACTCATCTCGTGGGTTATTAAACCACCTGAGAAATGAATGGTGAATGAGATGGATTATTAGTGAGGTTCTGAAAGCAAGCCTGCCCCTTCCTCAGACCATCCAGGTTTGTAGGTTTGGCAGCGTGCTCTGCTTTTGAAATAAAGTGGGCAAGTGTTTGTGTTTTCTTTATCTGTGGCTTATCCGAGTGTACATAAGAAAAGGCATCTGTGCAACTAAGAAAATGTGTTCCATAGGAACTGAGAGGAAATATTGTTGACTCTCACTTCAGTAAATGCAAACCATGAGGGATGACACCCAACATGCTGTGTGATGATAGTCAGAGAGTTGCCCGCCTTTGGGTCGAAGGACTGCCAAAGCCAAAGCCTGTTTGTTTTAAACGCTTACAGAGACTGTTGTTGGGATATATAGCAACCCATCCAGGGGCACGTATACCAAGAATACTTGCTTTTTTTAAAATGTTTATTGGATTTATTGGGGTGACAGTGGTTAACAAAATTATGCAGGTTTCAGGTGCACAATTCCATGGAACTCTTGCTTTTAAACAGCAAGCTTAAAAAAATATTTTTATTGTAGCTTGTTGGCTTCCTGTTAAGGTTGTTATGGGGATATTGGCTTCTCATAAGTGAAAATGTGATTATTGTAGATCAAACAGAAACTTTTTCATGGGCAAGACATAAGGAGTGCTACCCATTTTTTGTAGCTTAGTTTAGATTTCTAAAGATTTCTGGCCTGTTCTCCCATTGATGCCCTGCTATTGGCACATCTTATAATTTCAGGGACCTGAAAACAGTGCTAAAATTTATTACTGTTAAGATGAATTTTCTCCTCTTGTAACACAGGTCAAATATTTGTGCACTTAATTTTTAGATTACCCATATGGATCCATGACTAGATGACTTATGTATTTAAAGAATAAACAGGAATACTGAAAGTGTTTTTACATTATTTTGCACTATTTATTTAGTTTTTGAAATTTGGTTTATTAACTTAAATATGTTTTCACTAGAGTAGACTATTGTGTATTTTCCATGTTTTCATATGATTATATTAGCCCCATCTTTTTTGTAAGAGTTTTTAAAAGGTTATTCTAGAATTAAAATAATATACGTTCTTTAAATAGGCTGGATAAAAAGAGGCAGATTTTGAAAAAGAAGACACTTCTTCAACTGAAGGAAGTTTCAAAGTCAACACATTAAAGATTCTTTTCAAAAGACAGAAATATAGGCTCAATAAATTTATACATTTTCTCCAACCCCATACTAACATTTCTCAGCAGGGAGATTTTCATTTATGCACTGTGAAGCTAGGGCATAGTTGAGAATCAAAAGAGGATTAATAGTGTGAAGTCTGGGTTTGTAGTTTCCTGTGTCTGAACTGACTCTTTTTCCTTTCAAAGGAAAGTACTGTACTCTGAAGCATGAAAACCTCCTGATCAGTGTTGCCTATGTTTTCCCCATTGCTCCAAAATAGCAGGTAACCTCAGGTAATCGCAGTCATTTAGTGCATGAATTAACCATATCTTGCACGGATAATCAGGTTTGAGGAATACATTATTTGATTTTTTTTTTCCTGGCACTAAAATAAGAATTAGGTCTTTCTTCTGACACTTAGGCCAGAGAAACATCCTTGCAGCAGCTCGAAACCAGAAAGCCCCAGTGTTTCCAAATTCTACATCATCCCTTCCCCAGCTGGACATCCAGTCCACCTGTTAATTAACATACTGCTGAATGGGTCTTTCCCTTCAACTTGACTAACGTAGGCACCCATCTTTTAGCTTTGGTAGAAATGAAGGTGTTGGACCTACCTGAAAGCCAGAAGGGCTGCTCACCCTCTCTGAATCTTTGCCGCTGAACCAGGTATTAAATGTCAGCAGCCCTTGGGGAACATTCACTGACTGCCCACTCTGACCGTGGCAAGCAGAAGGCTGATGGGAAGGAGAGAGTGTGCGTGCCTACAGATGTTCAAGTGAACACAGATCTAACGGGAGTAACTGACTGTGACCTTTTTTTTTTTTTTCCCTTTAGATGTTTGAGGGAGATATTCACTAGGGTGTACCCTCAAGATTTAACTATTTCCTTACTGGCAAACAATGGAAATACCATCTACTATTTATCTGTAAAGACAGAAGAAAAAATCATGTTGAAACCTTATTTGTAGTTTTATTAATATAGTTTTATTTTAGGAAAACAGAAGGAAATCAATATAATTGCAATGATTTAAAGAAGTACTATTAGGAATCAAATGGGAAATTATTTTTCCTAAAGCAGAGACCACTAATACCATAGTCAGTCATTTGACTTTGAATTGTTCCCCTGTGGTCTCACTTTCTGTAATGTAAGCTCAGAAGGAGTTGTAACTATTGGGGGTCTATCACTAACTTTATAATCAGGGAGCTGCCGTGTCATATTGTAACACGGGATGATTAAGACAGTGGGCTTTGGAGTCGAGCTGACCTGGTTTTCTCTGCTCGCGTGGCCGTTTTCCAGGTGGATTCAACTTAATCCCTAAACCTCTTTCCCCATCTCTGAAATAAGGCAAATAGAAATATATACCTCAAAGGATTGTTGCAAGTGACTAAATGCGACACTGTCTTTAGAATGCCCAGCCAAGGAAGATATTCCACAGTGGTGTTAATAACAACAACTATGTTGGTAGCCTTTCCCACTCCCACCCCAAAGTTTCACAATCAAAGGACGAGAAAACCAAAGGCGGTAAGTGTTGACTTAATTTTTGAATAGGCTGTATTTTTTAGAGCAACCCTAGGTTCACAGCAAAATTGAGCAGCAGTTACAGAGATTGCTCATATCCCTCCTGCACACCTCACGCACAGTCTCCCCTACCGTCAGCGTCCCCCCCAGAGGTACCTGTGTTACAACAGATGAACCTACACTGACACAGCGTTGTCACCCAGAGTCCATGGCTTCTGTCAGGGTTTGCTCTTGGTGTTGAATAGTCTCTAGGTTTGGGCAAATGTAAAATGACGTTTATCTATAATTACAATACCCTATAGAATAGGTTCCCAACCCTAAACATATTCTGTACTCTGCCTATTCATTGCTTTCTCTCTTCTCCCTACCTCGTTTTACTGGTCTTTTCCTGAATGTTATATGCAGGCATATCTTAGAGGTATTGTGGTTTCAGTTCCAGATCAC